AATCCCAGTTGCGCGGAAAAGACGCGTGGCTTCCTCACTCAAAAGCCTGAGAACATAAGGCCCCACGTTCTTCTCAGGGACATTGGAGAGATATAAGAACAGTAGAACTCCCAAACATCAACACCATCACCCGGCCGAAAAACTGGGGTGACCTCGGCACAGGTCGAAACTCCGAACAATCCTGGGCAACAGCACGGTTGAGATTTCACGTTTGGGGCTGATGTTTTCAAAATCCATTATGATCCCACCACTCTCACCAAATGTAACCCATTTCCTGGAGTGGGGTACCGGCGGGAGCTAGAAAACGGGCACGGAACGAATCAACCGCGGTAGTAAGCAACACGGAGTCAATCACAGCGGTCACACGACGTGAGAAGCCCACGCTGCAACCAGGAACTCACAGAATCGCAATACGCAAGCGTGACACGAGCAAAACGGGCAGACACGGAGGAAGCACGTTTATCCACAACAGGAAAAAAGTGGGGTACAGGACCTTGAGAAGACAATCAAAACACAAAAGAATGTCAGAGTTTTGGGGCGGTAAAGTGGCTTCGCACGTTTTCACATATCTGTGATTTTTCGAGGATCTGCAAATAAAAGGGAAAAGAAAGAGATCATTTAATTAGTCTTTAAAAAGACAAGGCGGTTTCGCTTTCGTTACATAAGCGAAAGTCTACTTACGCGCCAGTAGCAAAGTAAGAAAATGGTATATTTAAACATAGTGTAACAAATGAATTATCAACCGTTATGGAGCAAACTAATAAAAACAATGTGCTGACTCCCAATTTTATTATACTACGCCACCGCGTATTTCCATAAATAAACAAATGTCATGATCGCCCGATGATTGCCCCGATCCGTGCGCTCGGGTGACCGAGGGTGCTGACAGGGCAGGTGCTACCAGAAGGATGCCTGTACCGGTATATTCTGGTTATAGGAGTGCATAGCAAGCGCCGCAATGTTGCTGGAAAGCGGTATGTACATTGCACCTGCCTGATGAAAAGATTATTACAGGTACCGCAGTTACAATTGCCCTGCTCGCTGTTCAGCGCGTTTAAGGGCGGATGTTACGAGGTTGGAAACTCGTGTCTGTGGTATTTGCACAGTTTTCAAGCGAAGAAGCATTGGCTGTATACGAAAACCGGAGGCTGCCGGCGGATCAGTAACGCTTGATGCATATATTAATGAAAACGTTTCGTCGGACGCAGGTGATGCTTGAATTTGTGCGCCAGCAATTTAATGTTTCAGCTAATATCATCGCCAACTCCCAATCAGCAGGCTTATTGTAATCTTGAAAAGCACTAGACGCCGGCGTATCGACCTGCTGGGCCTCGTCAGTGGTGCGCCTCCCAGCGGAACCCAGCCGGATTCCGCTCCCATGACTTCAGGTTGTTAGCAGCTGGTGCCACTTCGACATGTGTGACAGCCGTAGACCTGCGTGATTGGCCGTTGACTGTGATATAGCCCGGCCCATCTTCCCCTGCCATACCAGTTACGAACTGCGCAGAGGACACTGGCTAGCCTCACGAGCTAGGACTTTCCGCATAGCGTCAATGCACAGCAGAGGACTTAGAAGCAATACGGACAGATTTTATATTACCAATGAGTAGTGAGGATTTTTGGTATAATTCAGCTAATTCATTTAATAATGCGCATTTTGGAAGACACGGCGGCGTCATCGGAAGGCTTGAGTCACCGACGTGGAAGAGGTTACGAATCTGTTGCGAAGCAATGGTCAACTTAAAATTATGCATGAGGGAAATGAGATTCGGTACCTGTTTTTCGTGTCCACGGGTAAGCTGTAGTTGGTGAGCCAATACGGTGCGGTCATTTTGGCGGACTCCACATATCAGACCATTTACGGGAGTTACATTCTAAGGCATCGTATATTTGTGGACATTAGCGGCCTTGGTATGAGCTTCTTTTATGCGCTTCTGCCAAATGAGACGGAGGCTAATTACGAAGCGGTCGAGGTATGTTGGAGTTGGCCCCTGGGGTTGCCGGTGCTCGAACGTTGGTGATGGACAAGTGCGCTGCGCAAATGAATGCGTTACGCAATGCGTATTCCATTGCCAACAGCGTATCCAGCAGGGTACACATCATGCAACATGCAGAGGCGTTGTGCTCAGCTTCCGTTCTATACCCCGGAAGATAAGAGCGCTCTGTTCAACATACTGCGCTCGTTGTTGTACATCCACCATTGCTCACATTATCATCGGATAATGGAAGGTATATCGGTGCGCAGCGCGGAATGCTGCCAATGACTCTGTCGCAAGGGGCTCCCATGGTGGCTTAGCTGGGCTGCGCATCCGATGGGCTGTGTGGTATTATTCGGGTGTGACAGCACAAATGGCGTTGAGAATGAAAATGAGCATTTGAAAGAAACTTTGGGTGAGCGGTCAACTCTACTGCACCTGTTTCAGGTGATGGAAAGAAGGGAAGGAACCTTGACGGTGGTGCGGATGCGATGCCGTGGTGATAGAGTCTTGGACCGGGCCGCAGAAATTCGCCTCACTCGGGATATGTTTGCTGACTTGGAGGCATACATGCGTGAGCTCCTGGCTACTCACAGTAATGTGGAGGTGTTCGCCCGATCATCGAAGGTTGAACAATTACAACGGTTATCCTGGGAGGACCTGCGTATCTTCCAAGCAGCGGACGCGTCTTCCTCCCATGCCGCTACTCGGATGTGGACAGGAAACGGTTCTTCGACCAGCAGAAAGTTACCAGAGAAAGACGTTGGCGAAGCGCTCCCGTTGGTTGTGGCAGGGGCTGGTGTTTCGCACGTTAATTGCAATGACCGTCCGCGCCACAAACAGAAGTGACTTTCGATAGCTCGTGCGGTGGATGTGGGGGACCACCATGGTGTCACGGGGATTGAAATGCAGTACCCTGAAATGAAGGACATCCGCTGGTTACCGCACATTTACATGTCGTGCAAGGAGAGCGACCGCTGCTTAAGATGCGGCAAGCGCGGTTTGTGCTGTGTGTGAGCAGGAGGACGAGGTTTCGGGGGACCTCCGAACACGTTGCTTGGATAAGTTCCGACGTACGCAGCCCCTGGTTTCACCACACATGTGCCCCATACCATGGTGAGCCCGCCTACACATGTACGCACTGCTGCGGTTAGGTTACGCTTGACGTATTTAACGTTGCTTTTCCTTAGGGTTACGAAAGAACATAATTTCAGTGTTGCCTCATGCACTTTTCCATATGGAATCGCTTACAGTCCGTAGGTGCGCACGTTATGGATTTCATTCCGGAAATAAATAAATAAATAAAATTTTTATTCTCGACAAGGCGAGGCACACCTTTACAGGCATGATCAAGTTTAGCTAACATAGTGTGATCACAAATGTACAAAAAGTACATGTTTGCATAACAGTGTATGTAAGTGTACGGGTGTATACAAGTATGTAATTTTGTATGAATGCAGCTTGTGTCTTTGAATATGCCGCAGCATTTTGTCTGTTTGTTATCCTTAGGAATGTGAGCATAAGCGATTGATGTCTGCGGGTTGGATAGCACTTTCCGGATATCCAGCGTGTATGGGTGTATATACGTGTGTACTTGTGCATGAATGTAGCCTGTGTCTTTGAATATTCCACAGTTTTTGACTGGTTGTTATCCTCAGGAATGTGAGCATAAGCGATTGATGTCTGTGGGTTGGATAGCACATTCCGGACATCCACGGGCCAGTGACTTTAGTTTGTGGCGAGTCACATCCACCTTGCTTATTTAGTGACTACCGTCAATCCGCCATCAATGTTTCTTCGAGGGTTATGTGGCTTTCGCTTATACAGCTGCGCGGCGCAGGCGTTACTTTACATAGCGAACGTTGCATTGCTGGACCTTCACATGACCCATACAGAGAAACTTTTCCATGACGTCTAAGGGAAGGCCAGGCAACGTTATTGCAAGTTGAACTCGCATGTTTCCGGTATCCTCAGCAGGCTTATGCGGCATTGAAACAGAATGCACGCTGGCTCAAAGCATGACGTCCCGGCACCCCTCCGAAACCGCTATGGAAAGAAAATATGCGGAAGAATGAGAAGGACAAAATCTTCATCAAGTGGTATGTAGTAAAACAGGGATTATCACCGTGCAGCTCCAGGACCCTGCTGGGGTAAGTAGTGCGGGCGGGGTTTGACTGATATGCGGGGAGGGGAATTGGCGTATGATCGCTGGTTTGTTTTTTGATAGGGGGAGGTGGGTGTTTGTGTATTGGGGGCGGAAAGAGGATGGGATTGGAGGACGTCAGGGGGAGGTGGGGTGTGTGAAGACGGGGCACGGGGGAGTTGGTGTGGGGGTGAGGCGGGGAGGGAGGGGGTGGGTTAGGGGCGAATGAGGTTGGGGGAGATGGTGGGTGTGGTGATGTATGTACAGTGGGTGGTGGTGCCTCTGAGAGCAAGGTGTAGGGGGGTTGGTGGTTGAGGTATGGAGGTAAGAGTGGATGGTGCAGGGATGTGGGTTTGGGGGGGCGGTGGGGATTTTTTATTTCTTGAGGAGGTCACATACCGGTTTTCGCTGATCGTTGAGCATGAAGTCTGAAGATTGCACGTTGTCGGTCCTTGGACGTTTGCGTTGGGCAGGGGACTTATTAATGGGGAGCACTTCTGCACAATATGTTGTGCGTTCTGATTGGGTGGGACACTTTCCAGAGTTGAGTTGTTGAGGGTCGGATGGTCTGATAGTGGGGATGATTGTAAGGGTTTGGGAAGGGATGCAATCTGGATTAATCTACTGGGAGAGGTGTGACTGCGGAGTAGGGAAGGCGTTATACATGCGGTTTCCTTTAGGCACCGGTCCGGGTATGGGTTACCTATGGTATCCTGAGGCTGTTGTGTTCTTGGGGTTGTGGATTCCAGGTTTTTTTTAGGTGTTTTTGATGATGGGACAGTAGGCAGGTATTGGTTGCGTGGTGGGTAGTTGCGTGGTGTTTGGTTGGTTTATTTGCTGTTTTGACATCGGGTCTTACAGAACCTACTGGTTCCCTCTATTCACGCATTTTGGCTGATCGGGATTGGTGCATGGGGTCTTGCAAGGGAAGCGTGGGGGGGTCGGCAATATAGGTAGTGAGTGGTGGTGGGTGCGGGGTTCCGGGGAACCCCCCCCCCCCCCCCCCCCCCCCCCCCACACACTCCCCCCCCCCCCCCCCCCCCCCCCCCCCCCCCGTGGTACTGCACCAATAGGGGGTTCATACGGGGGGGCTGCGTGGAATTGGGCCTGGTATTTAGTGGTGGTGGTTTGGTTACAAGGCGAGAAGGGGTATCGGGTTGGAGTAGGGTATGATGTTGATTGGTATGGGGAAGGTGGGTGGGATAGTTTGAAAAAGGTCCTAAGACCCAGGCGGTTTCATTTAGGTAGTGGGGGTAGGCCCCCCATTATTGGTTTAGGGGTGTGCGGTTCCGTGTGGGGTAGGAGGAGACGGGGGGGGTGGGGGGGATGATGTTGGGGAAGGAGTGCGAACACGGGGAGGTTTTGTATGGTGGGGGTGGTGGTGGATATGAGTGTGATGGGGCGCATGGTTCGGGTTGGGGTAGGAGTTAATGAGTTTGAATGGTGGTAGGAATGGTGGGAGAGGAAAAGGTTGTGAGGGGTGGGGCTGGTTTATGGGGGGTGGGTGGGTAGGTTTTATGGGTAGAGAGGGGTGGGAGGGTGGCTGTGTGGGTGTGTGATGGGCTGTGATGTTGTCATGTGGGGCCTATATAGGTGAATTGGTGGGTTATTGGTTTTTGGTGGGGGGGATAATGGGAGTGGGTCATAGGGGTTGGCGGCTGGTAGGAATATGGGTTACGTTGATTGAAATAGGGTAGATTTGAACGGAGGGAGTGTTTAATGGGTTCGGGTATGAGTATAGGGCACGAGGGTTGGGGGTTTTGTGTCGTGGTAGGAGTTCTGTTTTGGGTGGAAAGGTTAGAGGCACCTGACGTTACGTGTGTGGTCGTGTTGGCGGGGACGGGTGTTTCACACACTTGCGTACAGTTATTTATTAAACCTTTCTAGTTTTACAAAATTGTCCTACTAAGCATGGTGCAGTACTGTTTTCAGGTTTTAGAGTTTCGGGACCTTCTTTTTTTTAATAAGCTCCTTTCGCAATAGTTTGTACCCATTTATATAAATCAATTCCATGGAGAGAACACGGTAGGGTTCTTGAGGGGGGGACGGTGGTTATTCGGGTCCGGGTGGTTTGGCGGAATGCGGAGTATTATTTAGGGTCCCCCCGGTAGGTATAGGGTCGGGACGTGGTAACTTTCTGGGGTAATGTTCTTTAGAGGGTTCAGTTGAGTTTGGTGGACTAGGTGGTTGTAGGTGATGTACTGGTTTTTTGTGAGGGTTGGGGGGGCTGGGTTATGGGTTGGTCAAGTTGTTAATTATGATACCATTAGTACCAGACGCCCCGCCCCCCCCCCCCCCCCCCCCCCCCCCCCCCCCGTTACTCGGTTATGGATGGGTAAATTATAAATGTTGGATTCGAATTGTTGTAGTATTTTTGTAGGTGGGAACAAAATGAGATAGAGGGGCGGCGGAAGTTAACGGTCTCTAGTTAGATTCTGTTTGATAGGGAGAGACGAGTGGAGGGGCGGGATATATGGTATGCTGTGACAGTCTTGTTGTTTTGGTGGGGTTGAGGTGTTGAAAGTGATTCGAAATGACATAGGGCGGATATCAATTGGGAAGCTATTCGAATGCACGTTTTTCAGTTATGATTGAAACGGCGAACAAGGTTGTAATATTACCCGCGGGACGTTCATCCTGCTATCTTCACGTCCTGAATGGGTAACGGCCTCCCCAATATCACCAACTGCCTTGTTTAAGGAATTCCACACAGGACGGGCTATCGCTTTAATGCCATCCGTGTACCAGATGCCAAAATTTAGAAGGATCCCCCCACCCCCCCCCTCCCCGGAAACGGTACTCCGCCCCCCAGTTGCCGCGCCTCACCCCCGTAACCACTATGGGGTACGCAGACCGGCTTATTCGGACGGTATGTTCGTTTAGGGTAACGCTGAAGGTATAATTCGTACAGGGCCCCCCCCCCCCCCCCCCCCCCCCCCCCCCCCCCCCCCCCAAAATTAACCTGTATGTCCGAATCCGATTCGGGCCCTGGCTGTGGGGGAAGGATTGAGGAGTTTCGGGTATGTGGGTCGGATTGACAGAAAACAGATGTACGTTTGATTGGTGTGTATTTGAAGTAGTGTGAGTGAGGGGCCGGTTTGCGAGGGGGATTTGATGGATGGTTAATATGTCGTGAGAGCTGTAAAGTTCACTTCATGGTCACTTTGTTCATTGATTGTATCTTGGGTTTCCCATGGCTGTCTTGCACGCCAAAAGTACCACCGCGTCTCCCGGGCGGCGGAGTAGGTTGGGTTTCATACGTTTGTTGGGTGACTATGTTCATATTTTATTTATATTAATAGCCCCCCCACAGCCACCCCCCCCCCCCCCCCCCCCCCCCCCCCCCCCCTGATTTGAGCCGCTTCATCTATCAGGAGTATGGTAACCGTGTAACCCATGTGGACCTGAGCAATTTGCGCATTCGTCATCGAAATGCAACTTCCTGTAAAGTGTCGGAGGTGGCAAGCTGCTGGATGGGCACGGTGTTTGCCCATTGGTGTATGAGGGTAGCCAGCTTCGTTATGTGTTCATCTCATCATCTGTAGTCCGTGGCAGTGTGAAGCGTTATGGCGAGGTTGTATTGTGCAATGCGACGAACCAACTAAATTATGGTGGATACATTTTGTGGCATTGCATATTCGTGGACGCAACAGGTCTAGGGATTCCCTTTTTCTACGCCATCTTACCTGATGAGACATCCTATAGCTATTAGCAGGCTGTGGAGGCGATGCGGGAGATGGTGCCTAGCAGCGCACGTTGCGGCACTGGGGTGATGGATAAATGTGCTGCGCAGTGGCAGGGGTTTCGGCGTTATTATCGCAACGCGAAGGTAGTGTTTTGCTGGTACCATGTGAAAGTGGACATGGCTAGACGTTGCGGTCGCCTACGTGGGATAGCAGATGCTAGCCGAAAGCAATTACGCGCTTGGTTTCATAATCTGATACATACCCGTGATTCGTCGGTGTTTGAAAGATTATTGAACGCGATGCGGCGTACCAATCCTGAATGTTACCGGTATTTGTGCGCAACGTGACTTCTACACGCAGACTCTTGGGCGGCTCACAGGCTAGGGGTTGCTGTGGTTTTTGGATGCCAGACAACAAACAGGGTGGAGAATGAAAACAAGCATCTTAAGGAGTATTTGTCGGAGAGGTCATCGTTATTCACTCTGTTTACCTGCGTGGTTGTTAGGGTAAACAGTATCGTGCACGAAAGAAACAGCATAATATGTAGTCGGTGTTTGAGCGGAGGTGTCCTCAGTGGCTTGTGTTTTCGCACAGCTGAGCGATTTCGCAGGCAAGCTATTCATACATCATTTCCGTGCATCAGCCGTTCTGGGTTGTAGATCAGATGGGCATTATTAGTTAGTTACGTGTCCTCGTTCCAAAGTTCGTCGGGTATATATAACACGCGGCAGTGAATGTGATTGCGAGCTCAGTCGGCTTTGGCGGCTCCCATGTGCTCACATTTGTTATGTGGCGGTGCCTCATGGACATTCCGCGGAGGACATACTGCACGCATGTCCGTGGGTCGCACCCAGGCAACCTCCCGCAGGAACCTCCGACTCAGTTCCGGCGGATGTTCGTGTGCAGATTGTAGATAGTCAGGCAGCGGTTGTCAGTCATACCATGAAACTTCACCAGAAGCAGGAGGTTTTATCAAACATCGGCACAAAATTGTGCGCCTAAGGATCGGAGAACGTCTCCGCGGCGTTGACGGCCCTGAAAATGGTGGCGTTGCTTATGTCCAAAGTGGCCAATTTCCAGTTGTATGCTCGAACGTCTAACTGCCCTGTTACCCTTATGCTGTATACGGAGGCGAACGTCCTGATGTTATCGGGCTTCCTCTTTTCGGGAACGTCGCATGAGGATAAATCGGTGGCAGTAGGGACGACGTTGGGATGAGAGATGCCGCACACCGTGCATTCAACAAAGATTAATGACGTCGACCCTGTACATTCAAATGCAACACTTGTGACATCCATATCGGCAACAGGGTCGAGGAAGCGTAAATCGCCCCTTAAGTGCAGTGTGATGGAGCTTAGTCCCAGTAAGGGTGCGCTAATGGGCAAAGGCTTCCGTAAGCTTGGCACGCGGATATCCTCCGCCTACAGGGTTCCCCTGAAACGGAAACAGCATACTCAAGGAGTGCTTTCAGTGAACCTCTGCGGAGTATGTCAGCATGAGGATGATGTGGAAGTTCGCGGGGAGGCGGTGCAATGGGCTATGTGCGATGACTGCTCCCAATGATACCACGCGTCATGTGGGTGCTATGCTAGTGACGAGGAATTCATTTGTTTCTCTTGCTCCTCGTAGTGTCTGCGGAACGTATATGAAGGGCGTAGCATGGCACGCGCTGCAGGTATGCCTAAGTTGCGTGAACTTCCATTGTGTCCATTTTGGTTATAGAAGACAGGATTGAAGTTTCCTGTGGATAAGATTACGTGCGAAGGAGAAGTGAACAAGGTGCCGAGAGAGCCGCAGCACTGCCGAACGATTTTGCGACGGTATGTTTCCAATATCCCGTAATGAACCTTGATTTAGCCTCTATCATTACGTTGTCATTTTCACAGGGAAACTCCCTGCCAGTGAAGGTGTTCCAATGTACGTCGGAGATCGTTTGAAGGTTGCATGAAACGTAGCCTTAGGTAACGTTGCTTCTCCGCCTTTACGGTTCTTTCAGACGTACGGCGACGTAACTGCATAATATCCGTGACACAGCACCAAAGCAGTGAGCCTTCTCTCAGGTGATTCATCCACCGTGTCGTGTCTCCTTGCCATAGTCGGAAGTTTCCATTTGTTATATGAAACATTGCTTCCCTTTCACAGCGTCAGTTATGTGCGGCACACATAGCCTTCGGAAGTAAACCCGCCGCTTAGCGGCGTCGGATGTATGGCCTCCACCTCTTATTGCACGCTGCATACCTGGTCGCAGGTAGGGTTCCGTTTCGTTGATGTCCTCGGTTGCAGACACGCTGTGATGTGCGCGGAGCCTGGCGTTGCAACGTATCACCGCCAATGAGCCACCTCCGACGCATCCGCTCCGCCATGGGAAGCTTCATGCATACCTATTCACAGGTACTGCTTGCTTTCGGTGATCCACTTTCTGTATCAGCTAAAGTGAGAATCGCCGTCCATTGCCTTGCCACTTAGGCACGGCCACTGAGCCACCTCCGACGCATCGCCTCCGACAAGTGAACCTTCATTCATACGGGGTCACAGGTAACCAGTGTTATCCATGATAAATGTTGTTTAACAGGTAAAGTAATATGCGCTGTCCATTGCCTTGCCACTTAGCACGGACACTGAGCCACCTCCAACGTATAACCTCCGACATGTGATGCATCATTGATACTTAGTCACAGGTAAGGACTGCTTGCCATCATCACATTTATTTATCAGCGAAAGGGAACTCCGCCGCTCCCGGCGTTGACAGGGCGCACCGCCACTGAATCACCTCCCACTACCTCCTCCGCCATGTGAAGCATCATTCCTACGTATGCACAAGTTAGCATTGCTTTCCATAAAGACTTACGTTTAACGGAGCTCGTGAAATCGGCCGCGCTCAACCGTAGCACGTCGCACCGCCACTGAGTCATCTCTCACGTATCGCCTCCAACATTTCATGCTTTCTTTTCACGTACTCACCGGTGAACATTGGTTTCCCTCATCATCATCAGCATAAGCATCATCATACACGTTAGCTAGAGGTGGGGAACACCTTAGCTACTGTGCCGCAATACAAAGGAGGGAGAGAGAAAAAATAACCGGTGAAAACTGGCTGAGCTACCGGTAACAGATGGGCATCGTTTCGGTAAGCTACCATTCGGCTGCTGTGCACCCAAAATAATTATTATGCAAAATTATATAAGGCTAAGTAATGAGATCGTGGTTGGAGGGGGAGGCTAAGAGGGATGGGGTGGGACAAAAAACTCACAGCACGAACGCCACCGAGGTCAGCTCCTAGCCATATCAGCAAGTGTGTCCAACCAAACGTGTTCATCGTCTTTCGGACCCCAACCAGGGAGCCGAGATGCTCCAACCGAGGCCAGCTCAGAAGTGAGGGTCTTCAATCCTCTGGACCAAGTCATCGCTTGGCCACCCCTCCTCTTCTTCCATCCACACCCCGGCGCGCAAACAATACACGTCGCGGGAGTCTATGGGCTGGCATGCGTAACACGTGGCCGAGCAATCGGAGCCTGATGCGTGAAATAACGGTGCTGAGCGGTTCATTTCCTTTTCCTGTGTCATAAACAAGGCGTCAAACACGCTCGTTGCTCAAGCGGTGTTCCCACCATATGTGAGCCAAACTGCGAAGGCACCGGTGGTCGAACGTAACTAGCCTCTTCTGGTCCGCTGCTTTAAGCGGCCAGGTTTCACAACCGTACAATAGGGTCAAACGTACTGCTGCATTGTACACTCTACCATTCAGGGCAAGAGTGATGTCGCGCCGGCGCCATAAGTGGCGAAGGTTAGCAAAAGCGACCCGAGCTTTTGCTATACCATTCGTGATTTTATCTTCAATCCCACGGGCGCTGATACAACTTCCCAGGTAGTTGAATTTTTAACGACTTCTAGCTGATCCCCACCAACGGTCAGCGTAGGAGGCGGTCCAGACCAATCTTGGAGAAACGCTTTGCACTTCGAGGGTGCGAAGCAAAGCCCGAAGTGACGGACAGCTGGTGGTAATCTGTCCAGTGCTGCTTGGCACGTTTGTGAGCTGTCACAGATGAGGGCAATATCATCAGCATACTCCAAATCAAGAAGTCGTTCTCCTGGGAGTAGCTCCACACCTTATAAGTCGTGTTCTATAAACGCGATTTCTGAGACTGAGACAGACTGTATTTAAGAGCAAGTAGAAAGATTTCTGTACAACTCTATGGAATTACAAAAAATCAACATTTACTTGTGAATTATCAGCAGTTGAGTCTGGTCCGTTAATCGTTTATCCGTGTTCCGTTAGAAATTTGTACTAGCGTCATTGTTTCCGGACATAAAATGTCCTCTTTTGGCACTGTACGTGCATCGTTTCACAAAAGCAAAGGTTTCCGAAATAATCGTCGATACGATCTTCGAAACGCTTCACTGAATCGGCCTCTATTAATCCTTCTGGTAGTGTATTCCATAAGTTTACGATTCTTTGTTCAATACAAAGCTGATGTGATATTTTGTTCATGCTGGGGACCCTGAGTTTGTAACGATGTCCTCGAGTGTTACAGGGTTCTCGCAAGTGAAATATTGGCCGCAGTAAGGGGAAGTGATTCAAGTGTAGTACTCGATGGGTCATACTAAGATCAATTCTTACTCGGCGATAGGATAGTGTGTAGAGTCCGAGCCTTTCACAGCGTTTTTCATACGGAAGCTTTCGTAGATTTGGTATCATTCTAGTTGCGATATGC